TATGGTTTAACCATTAAGACTTTTTTTTTTTTTTAAAAAGCACCATGAGTTTTATTCGATAATAAATTGCACAAAAAAAATCATAAGATTATTTTTTAGGTTAATGATGATTTAAAATTTTCAAAATTTTAATGATTAAATCATAAAAAAAAAAAAAAAAAAAAAAAAGTCAACTTGTTAAACTGGAAAACTTTCAAACTATAATGTTTTTACAAAATTTGAAGCTTTCTGTAGTGGTTTTTTGAAAAAAAAAAGTATTTTTAATGGTTTTTCTCGAATAACCAAAGTATCGTGTTTGGAATGGAAATTGGCTTTAATATTGAGGCAAAACTTACAAATATTAGAGTAAACAGATTAGTTATATACCTTAATCACATCATCAACTTCAAAGCGAGAGGAAAGATATATGCACAACTAACTTGGTCCATTTTTATAAATGTTTTCCTAAATAAAGAAGTCACAACTCCTACAAAATTCAAATAAAACAATATTACCAAAGTTCCTAAAATGAAGGTTTGAGATAAAACAAGAAAGTTTTACCTGTAATATCTAATATCCGAACGAAAGTCACAATGAAGGGTTTTCGCTCTTTTAAACTAATTCATCGCAACATTGAGGGTGTCAAGAAAATGTTTTTAAAAAGTCCCCAAAAACATGCATATTGAAAATTAATAAAAAGTAATATATACAAGAATATACATTTAAAACTCCAAAAAATAATAAAAACACAATCATCTCTCGAGAAAAACCAACGTATGACAAATTATCATTGATCACATTGAATAATCTCGTAAACCAACGATTTGTCTCACATATTGCTACACAAAAGAAAGAGAGAAATAATCAAATAAATAAAATATATTTGAATGATACATTTTTTTTTAAACGGAAAATATACTAAACTATTTCTAAATTATTTCACTTATGTCTATTGCGGGACTTAAATTCTCGACCTCAAGGAGGGAGGGCAACATCGGATACAGCTGGGCTAGACGCTCTTTGATGAATGAGACACTCTAATACTGGAGTCTTTGATTCATTTTATAGTCATGAAGACTCATTCAGCTTTTTACACCCTACTAATATGGGACAAATTTTTCACTTTAAAATGGAAAACTTGTCACATCTACAAAATTTTGGTTTCAACCAACAAGCATAAATTTTTAAGTCTAACTATTATCATACTGCATTATAAACACGCATCATTATTTAGAACTATCACCTATAATTCACATCACCACAAGTTAGAAACTTGTTGAAAATGAATTTATAGTATAACTTCTCCTTTTTGCATACCTAAAAATTCATTATCGATCAATATCAGTTTCCATCATACATCTTACATATATGTTGAACCAACTTTGTAGATCTTTGATAGCAAAAATAAAGAAAACACGTTCTTTTCCTTTGTAACATGACATATCGCAATGATATCATATCTAAAAACAACAATGTTTGTTAATCGGAGCTTTATTTCGAATTCGCTTTACATGGACAATTTTCCATAACATGCTCAGACTTTCCATATAGTTCTTTTTCTATACATGCACATCAAAACCATATATTCTGATAAAATGTTATTGCTACATTACAAAATTTTCTCCTATAACAAGAGTTTGCTAGAGGTGCATGGTCAGATTCAAGGTCTCTTTCTCATACATCAAAATATGTCTCATTGAATGATCACAAACATAATATAGGCCCCAACGATTTGTCTTCGTCTTCAACTGTAACTATAATAGCCTTAAGTTCTGAAGCGATAATATTAAAAACACATAAATTATTTGAAATTTGTATGCCTTTACTATTACAAATAAGTATGAAATTGTTCATGAAATCCAACCGATTCATGATGCCTATGCTTTGGGATAATTGTATAACTTTCTCCGAAAGTTATCGTGCATGTTTACAAGAACATTTTTCTTAACACATGATCTTCTCTTTAACCTCACTTGAATCGCTACTATAATCAAGGGATCTTTTACCTCGGTGTCTTATGTAACCCAAGATTGAATTAACTCATCCTCCACAAGTTGAATTTGATTTTTCCATCTATTTTCTCTACATAGAACCCTAGGACTAGAACTTTGTCATTTCTTTATCTCAAAGATGATATTGTTTACTAAACAACCAACATAAAATTTCTTTATAATGCGGAAGATTGACAAAACTAAAACTTGCAACAAAAGAAAATAAAACAAGCAACATTAAGGAGGAATCATATACACAAAGTACTTCTAAACTCAAAAATCAATCGTCCTCAAAATTATGGATTTACGTATATGTATATGATTCCATGTGTTACTCATAAAACATTTAGAACACAATCATCCAACATAGTTTTTCTTAGGCAACAATGGCAATTGTATTCAAAGTAACAAATTAAGATGAAAAGAAAACCAAGAAGGTGATAAAAATATATACATATACCATAAAAAGTAAAAACATTATTATCTATAAAACGAGTTCATTCAATTTCAACCCCTCAACCTCTCACCATTCTATTAAAAACAAACGCATTCATATCTTCATCATCTGTAATACGAAGAGATGAAACAGCATGTGCAGCCATCTGTCCCACTGCAGATGACACGTCATCACCACACCCATACCCATATCCATATCCACATCCATTCCACTCGCATCTCGATCCTCCATGAGCATTCAAAATCCACCCAAATTCTTCATTTCGAGTTCTGTAAAACCCTTGATGATGGCTGCTGCCACGTGTAGCATCATCATCTGGGCCTTCCTCACTCAAAACCTGCATCGCGACTGCTTCAGCTATGGCAGCACACTCTTCATCCAACCTCTGTTGCTCTTCTTTCTTCTTCTGTTTCTTCTTCTCAAGCTCTGAAATAATGGCTGCTGAGGTGGCAAGGGCTTTCTCCAATCTCCTTTTTTTCTTTTCTGCTTGTTTGATACGATCTAATTCGTCTTTCACCTTCTTTTTCTTCCCCTTTCGTACACCAGAAACGGATTTACCACTATCCATGGCTTTATAATTTACCTTATGTGAAAAAAAAAAAAAACTAAAACTAATTTCTATATAGTTGTGTCTTGTTTACTTGCTATTATCTAGTATCTATCTAGTACTAAAAATGTGAACTTTTTTTTATCCTACACCCACTCAGATGTGAAAGAATATCTCATCTTACGAATAAGACAATCCCAAAAGGATATAGCTGGATCTAGTATAAGAGAGTATTGATAAGCACTTGATAAATTGTCTCTTGGAACTAACATTCTTTCTAATTTCCCACAGCCTGTGCATTTGCTCATTTCTTGAAAAGATAACCAAATAAATTAGGTGAAGATCTTGCTCCAGATCAAACGATCCACATGGAATTCCCTCCTGAAAATGAAATCAAAGAAGATCATGTGTAAGAACAACAAGAGTTGATTCAATTTGTTAGAAAAAAACCACAAATCACTACACGCATATTGCAGGATTGTAGAAATTAGTCCTAGACTCGTAGTTCTTAATAACGTGTTTCAATTGCATTGTTTAACGCCAATTGGTTATCATGTTAAAGATCAACAGGTAAAACGTAGTAATCAATCAACTAGGTGGAAAATTAGGGTTCGTGAAAGACGATGATTTCAATCAATTGTTATTAAACAGTAAGCAATTGAATCAAGTCAAATTAAGATCCGTGAACTCGAAGCAAACGCTCAATCAACCATCGACCTACCACAACAAACACATATAAACCCTAAAAGAAAGAATCAACTAGCAACTAACTTAGAACCCAATTACGGAATTGTAAACTTCAACATAAAATCTACACAACCAGATCAAATACGGCAAACTAAACACACGAACACAAATCAAATTCAGATTGAAATACAGAACAATAAAATCAAACCTCGTGAGAAGAATTATAACTAGGACTTGTGATTGCAAGAACTTGGATCTGAATTCTAAAGATGAAACCTAAGACGAAAGGGGAAGATATATAGAGAGAAGGATGGATAATATAAACTGATCACATGATAAAGCAAAGCGCCGAACGGAAAGAAGCAATGGCATAATTGTCATTTCCAGGAATTTTTTGGACACGTGGCGGACGATTAGAACGCAATCTAGAATGTCACAATTTTTGGTTGTTGGGCAGCCGTATGCTATCTGATCCGACAGCCTGTGAGATGACACGTGTCGGTGACCGCTTTGATTATGTAATGGTGATCTGGGACATTGATTTGAACGGCCAGAATGAATTTTCCAAAATAAATACAATTTTGATTTTTCTTCTCTAATTGGTGTGACATCTTAGCTAAATTTGCGATTTCCACTAAATTAGCGGTGAATTGGGATTATAGAAAATCTTTGGAAAATCCTAAGACCAATTAAAATTTGATTCTTAGAAAAAACTTTCTAATTTTTTGAAGAATATTCTCAAAGAAGATGATGATATATCAACAATGACCATATGAATTTGGTAGTATTCCAGAAATGATCTTATGTAAAAAGGTGAAAGAGTCGTGAAACATTGAAGATCACACGTGAAGAAGGAAATGATAATTACTTTAGTTTTTTTGAAAGATGAAAATATAAACTCAGGATATGCTTTAGATTTATTGACAAACTAGTAAAAAGAATATAAAAACAATAACTATTTTCTTGAAAAAAGAATTTTGGATTTGGATGTGTAAAACAATGGAAAGTAATTTAAGAAACTTCTAATTAACCACCAAATTAGCTAGAACCACAATCTCATTTAAAGGTATATGGAGATTTTTATGGATGGTTAACCGAATTGAAATTGTATTTCGGAAGGTTAACCGAAACTATCGATTTGCTAATATCTTAAACCTAAACCTAAACCTAGACTTAAAATTAGAAGACTGGTTAACCAGTTTTCGGTTAATCTATTTTTCCGGTTAGGTTATTTGATTAATCAATTAGTCATTTACAAATTATATGCTCTAAAAACTAGAAAATATTATTGTAAGCAAAATTTTACATTCTATTTTTCGTTCGGTTTTTTTTTGTATTTGTTTAATTGTAATAATGTTCTATTTTTTTTTTTGTGAAGTTGAGTTTTTATTAAAAATAGAGAATACTGCAATATAATGATAAATATAATATAATCGTCAACCAAAAAATTTGAATTAATATAAATAAAAAATCACAATTTTTATTTATTCTTTTAGTTGGATTATCGATTTCTATTGATAATGAAATATTGGAGTTGCAATGAATAATATAATTGGTATCCTTTTGTGAATTTAAATATTTTATGGCAACAAGTGAATAACAAAAAACAATGGTAATCATTATTAGTTGCTACTTCTAAATAGTAACTAGTCAATATTGGGTGATTACGTAAAAGGATAATAAACAATAATAGACAATCATGTTAGTTATTAATTAAAGTACATTTTTTGACAAAATATAATAGTTGTTAAATGATATTTGCAATTTGTATAAACAACTAAAAATATATTAAAACTTCAGTTCTCCGGTTAACCATCCATGGCCGAAAAACGTAAACTTTAACTGAGCAAAAAAAAAAAAAAAAAAAAAAAAAAAAAAAAAAAAAAAAAAAAGAACAGGTTATTTTATTGGTTTGGTTAACCAAATTGAAAAACGTCAAATAACGGTTCGGCTAACCAAAAAATGGTTATGCTTTATCGGTTTTTAGGTTTCAGATATTTTGAACACCCCTATATTAAATGACGATGCAAAATTTGTTGATCAAATTTAAGTGGCGATGACCAAATCTCATTCAATTCAAAAGAGATTCATATTGAACTAAAACTTAAAGAACCGCATAGTTTACTACCTTACTTTGTGTGAACTTTGTGTGAATCTCATATTGGCAGTAATGGTAACGTTCTCTCTTGATTCTCTTAGAAAAACCGATTTCTTTTTTGGTGTTCTTCATATTCACATTCTTCTTACACATGAAGAAGAATGCATATTGTTTTCTTATTTGGAGAGATAATAATTATTTTCTTTTATAAATGTCTCTCAAAGAGTAACCTAGCCTTTATGCAATTTGGCAAATTTACGCAACCAACATGTATAAATATTACATAACTTCAAAAACTAATGTTGTCGTAATGGCAATAAAATATTTGTATAATTATTAAGATGTAGCTAAAATATATGTATAATTATTAAGATGTAGCTAATATACAAAACTTACATAAATAGTCCAAGGACATATAAATAGGAAACATGTTCTAACGTTCTCCGATTTTGCTTTGAGATCATTTATATAAGTTTAGTTATTAATTTTGGTTAAATAACCTCATCTTACTTCATAATGATACCAAAGCAAAGAAATATAGCCTCATGGGTTGCTTTTAACCCACGAGTATAAGGATTATACAAGCCAAAATGATTCTTAGATTAGGGTTTGTCTATAAGAGAAGTTAGTGTGCATAAATAAGATTAGACAAACAAACTTGCAAATGAATATTAAGTCTAAGTACTTGGAACTTACAATAGTAGTAATAAACAAGTAAGGCACTATGCTCGAAATAACTTAAAGAGAGTCTTGAGTTAAACCTATATTAGTGACAGGACAATGAAAAAGGGGCTGATTTTTCCACGGAGGTTTCTTATTTATTTATGAAAATTAATAGATTTACAATTATACCCTCCTTTAATTACCGTACGTTACAATCACAAATCTTACACACAAATCAACAAATACCCAAAGTCCAACGAGCCTTCTTCTTCCCCCTCCTTTTCACTAACCTACATAGAGTAGGTCCTCTGGTCACCATCTCCGACGACCTCATCCTCTAAACTTTCGTCTCCCTCCTTGTCCTACCACTTCCAAACTTTGTGCCCCTCTCACTTAAAAGTAGGAACCCACCATCGGCCACTATCTTCCTCTCTTTTTCTCGATTACCATCTCCGNNNNCTCTCTCTCTCTCTCTCTCTCTCTCTCTCTCTCTCTCTCTCTCTCTCTCTCTCTCTCTCTCTCTCTGCGGCTACGATTCTCTCCGGAGAACTGCAACTCACTGAAACAACCAAAAACTCTTAATTCCTGCAATCCCTTGTTATAAGATGATGGAGGATTATATATATCAGTGGTTTCCGAAGATGGTGATCGGGATGTTGGAGTAATCCAAAAGTAATAAGCGTAGTTTAGGCACTTTGTTTTTTTTTCTTTATTGATAGGTTCAATGTCATATGGTTGTAGGTTACATAAACCCATGAATGAGTTGTTATATTTTTCTATTTTGTTGGAAAGTTCAGATATAAAGCTAGGCAGGAGGCGTATTTTCCATTGCAATGTTTTAAGTTCTTCCAGTACCTTTTTCTGTTTTCTTCCCAATTACATTATGCAGCAGAAAGTTTGCACTAATTTTTGTTGCTTTTGAGTTGTGTGTGCAGTGGGTTGTGTTCAAAGGGAAACTCCAACACGGGAAAGAGAGGGGAAGATAGTGACCAGCAGTTATTTCCTACTTTTGTGTGAGAGGGGCGGATGCTTAGTAGTTGTGGGAGGACTGGGGAGGGAGGCAATAGTTTAGAGGACGTGGTTGATGGAAATGGTGACTGGAGGACCTACTCTACGGTGGTGAGTGAAAAGGTGGAAGAAAGAAGACTCGTTGGACGTTGGGTATTTGGAGATTTGTGCAGATTTTGACGATGGGTATTTGCAGATTTGTGAGTCAAATACATAGTAATTAAACAAGGGTATAATTGTCCATCTATTAATTTTTCAGTGGTTGGATTAAAAACCTATTTGGAAAAATCAGCGCCCCAATGAAAAACGTTGGGTTGGAGAGCTTTAATGAGATGATTAGTTACCATATTGTTAGTGCTAACGTGTTTGATACAAATGTCGTTTTCCTCCATTCTTTCTTGAACTAGCATATAATTTGTATTGATATTACATTCTTGCTCCACTCAAAATATTATATTATTCGAGAAACTAATTGTTGCAAAATTATTACCATAAATCTTTAAGGACCTTGAGATGGAATTTACGATCTTTATCCATTTGATAAGAGCTTTCTTAACAACTTTCCAATGATCTAGGGTGTGATGAGACTAATAACTGCCTAACATACCAAATACATATGTGATGTTGGGACGAGTACAAACTTGATAATATATTAGGCTTCCTACTAAATAACATAAGCATACATTAGGCTTCCCGCTACATAAGCATGAGGAATGAGTCACATTTGTTCTTCTCAACCTTAGGATTGGAGTTTTGAAAAGACCTAATAACATCTCTGTTAACCACTAAATCAACAAAAGGGGAGAAATGTTGCATGTTAAATCGATTTAAAACCAGCTCAATGTATGCCTTTGGGATTATCCTAACGTCTCTTTAACTCGATCTTTGTGAATTTCAATGCTTGTAACATAAGAGGTTTCGCCTAGATATCTCATGTAAAAACGTCCGAATAGTAATAATTTTCATTCATGCAACAAGTCTAAGTCATTACTTACTAATAAGATGTCATCGACATATAATAAAAGTATAATAAATTTCCTTCCACTCCTGTTTAGGTATATATATTGATCTACTAAATTCTTGTTGAAGATAGTGATCTTCGTGGCTTCATCAAATTTTAAGGTACCACCGTCGAGAAGCTTGTTTGAGCCTATATACAGACTTTATGTGGTTCACACGATCAGGATGATCGACTACATCCACGAGCGATCACAAGAGAGAGAGAGAGAGGGAGAGAGGGAGAGATTATTAATTTTATTGGATGTTTGCAGTCTTACACTAGGTTACACACATTTAGGGAATATAAATACTAGTGAGTTGACCTGAATATACTAAAAAGGCCAAGCCTAAAAACTCTAACGAAATACCGACCCATGACAAATTTCAGGAACGGGACCCACGCTTGGTCTGACTAGCGACTATTAGGGTCAACGGGTGAATAAGTATCTACAACTTAACATCTACTACTAACCCATTGGGGTGGTTCAATACTAGATGGTTCATTGGGGTGGTTTAATACTAGATGATACTTTCATTGGTCTCCTAATTTTGTTGCATCATTATTACAAGACGGTTGAGTTTCATTAGGACTTTCAAGTAAAACATTAAGTATAATATGCAAAGGAATTGCCAAAGCCCTTTCACAACCATTCTTGAAGATCATCTATAGTCTATAACCATTTTTGTGAATCATTTATATACAATGAACAATTACAACCATTTTTTGTGAAACATTTTAGGCTTAGCATATTTACGATTTCATTCGAGTTATTAGTGTCTTAACAGTTTTTTTTTTTTTTTGAAACGGTCAAATTTTATATAATAAACCCCCACCAGCAACTCAGCAAGAAGCTTAGCAAGGGCATAGAAGGAAACATCAGAACAAACAGTTACAATGTAACATATGTTTCCATTTAATGATCTCGAACTAGTGTTAACAAATAAACCGATCATTTATATGATTAAAGATTTATTTTGTAGGTTTGTCAAGTGAGTTAAGTAAATAAAAGGTATTGTATAGATGTAAATGTTAAGTTAATAAATAATAACAATAAAAATATGATAATTTAAATAATTCGAAGTACTTAATTAATTAGAAGATGTAAATTCAGGGTTTAAACTGTCATTCTCAGAAACTGTTATGTAAAGAGATTTCTGGCCAGGGGTTAAATCGTATATTCCAAACTTGTTTTGTCATAAGAATCTTAGATTAGGGTAGAAATCACCATCTGACCAAACTCCAAGGACCAATTATGCCAATTTCAGAATTTGGGTTGTCTCATTCTTCCCTAGTCGGACGCAGCTCCTGCTGGCAGTGTTTCTTACACATTTGAGGACCAGTAATATGCATTGCTTCAAAAGACCCCAACACCCTTTTTCCACTTATATATTCATACTTTTCATGTATTAGGGTTAAGTAATGAGAGAGGAAGTGCATCGCTACGAATGAGCGGTAGGAGATGAAGTCTGACGGCTTTGGAGGATGTTCCACGTGAAGTTGACTTCCGACAGCAGGTCTCCGGTGGGTTTTAGAAGCTATTTTGAGTATCTTTTTCACTCCATGCATTCACACTAAGTTTTTTCGGAGAGATTTTGTTCCAGTTGTGTAACACTTAAATGGGTATGTTTCCTTTTTGCCCTTGTAATTTTAAATAGTGCATTTTTGGTCCTTGAGGTTTGTATGCGGGGCGTACCATAGGGTATGCTTAGTGTACTAGCTGATAAGGTACTACACGGGGCGTACCACATGTGTACGCTTAGCGTACTAATGGGGAGAATGGATCGCAGGTTCGAGCCTCGTACGTTGGGCGTATGAGGGTTACGCAGGGCGTACGAGGGGTTTAATAAAACCCTAATTTTAGGGTGTTGCACCCTATATAACCACCTTAAGTCCCAAGAGTTGGCCTTTTTATCATCCTTCATTGTCCTAAAACCCTAATCTCGAACCCTAATAGCATCTTTGAGTGTTCTTGTGTAACACCCCATTTATTAAATAAATAAATGAGCAAATTTATGAATGAACAGTAGCCTAAAATCAATAATATTAGTGGGGTGTTGGTTTTGGGGAGCCAAGTATTACAATATAGATTATTCGGGGATAAAGTGTAATTTCAGAATTTAATCTGAAAGGATTTTTAGAAGTCGGGGGCTGAATCATAAATGTCGGATTAAAGAAGAAAAGATTTTATGGAGGCAGGCGCTAAAAGGGTAACTTATGGACACATTTTGAAGAAAAGGGGGAGGGAGGGACCGAATCTGTAATTATGGGGAAGATGCTTAACGGCTGCCTCCATATATAAGGAAGCGAACCCTAACCCTAATGAGGAGCTGCAGCTGTCACTTACACCCTCCACCCTTCAGCCGCCACCTCCTAGCCTCGCCGGAATCGATGAACGCCACCACGCACGCTCTTCCGGTCAGCCGTGGCTACCAAGGGACTGCCGTTCCCAGCCGACAACGGTGCCATTAGCTTGAGCCGTCAGCCTCCAGCGTCCTCGTCGCCACCTTGTAGTCAAACGCCACCGCCACCTCCGTTTCAATGACCTCCAGCGCCGCCACCACCATTGTTGAGGTCACAAACCACCAACGATAACCGTTTGCGACCCCGACGACGGACGAGGCCGATTCCACGGCTGCTATAGTTGTTCTAAATCGCAACTCTTCTTCTTCTCTTATTTATTCCGCCGCTTTCCGCCTCGCTCCCGTCGCTTGCTAATGACCGCCACCACCGTAGTTCGTCGCCAGTGACACTGTGAACAAACAGGACGACCACCAGGGGCCAACAAAGGTTCGGATTCGTTGTGGTGTAGTCATGAACGATCGGGAATCCTCGGGGATCAAGAAACCACCGCCACCATGTGTGTGTTTATGTTAGTTAGTGTGTGTGTTTATTTTTGGATTTTGCTTTGTAAACTGTAATCATGTCGGAATAATGTAAAGGAAAACCCTAACCACCACCGTGAGGTGGTGGCTGCCGCCCACTGTCGCTGTGTCGGGTGGCGGTGTGCCTCGTTTGTATTGTGACTCATTTGGTATGCTTGGACAGAATGGGCCCAATGAAACCCTAGTGGGCCCAATAAAACCCTAATGGGCCCAAAGAAGCCCTAATTGACCTAAAATCCCAAACATGTGATTAATGGGCCTAGTGAAACCCTAATGGGCCTAATGAACCACGATTGATCAAAAGACCTAGCTATTGGGCCTATTGGGCTAAGATGGGGTTGGAAACCCTAATTAGGGTTTAGAAAACCCTAATTTTGGATATATGGGCCTTGGATTTATCGGGACCCACATTTGGGCCATTGGAATGGAATTATGAATTACACC